CCAGCATTTGCATCTTGTTGACCTTTTCTCCCAGACATAATTTTAAACGTAAAGCTCTTTGTGACTGAGGATACATTGTGTTCAAGCAAAATCTCCTGTGAGTTGGAATTTGGCATTTTCATCTTCTTCCCTGGACTCTGTGCTCGTCTCCACGCTGTTCAATTGTTATATAGAATTAATGTTTCTTGGCCTGGCATGCTTAATAAGGAAGGACTGTGAAAACTAGAAGTCCCTTTTGATTGAACTGTGAGGATATGAAGAGCTTCTCTTGGTCATTGTGCTAACCTAGGGGAAGGGAAGCCTACAAGGAGTTGCAAAGAACCAAGAATATCAGCTCCTCTGGTTCTCCTTTTCTTTGACTACTTTGGTGAAAGTGCCAAGGATGTAAGCCTCGTTCACCATGCTTTGCCTGCCCATTCTTCCCATGTTTCACATAGTTAAGGCCAAGGATTGCAGCATGAGTAGCACTTTACATCATAAGGCTTTATGCCTACGGACTGTCTCTTCTTTAGAAGTTCAAACATTTGGGTTTGTGGTTAAGGCATCAGGCTAGGAACCGGGAGACCTTGAGTTCTAGTCCAGTGATAGCCAACCTATGACACATGCGTCAAAGATGACACGCCACAGCGTTTTGGGTGCCACGCCAGCATTCACCAACACCTGACAACAACTACTCTCCCTGTTTGAGTTACCAAAGAAACTGAGTTTGTTTTACTCACATTTCATTTTTGTAATTATTTGACGTTTCTTTATGTAATACATAGCACCACACATGATTGGATTCTATTTTTTTTTAATAAATGAATATGTAAAGAATTGACATGCCGGCAGAATCAAGCTAGATATTTTCTGAATTTTTGATACACCGAGCCCATCGCTGTTCTAGTTCCACCCTAGGCACAAAGCCAGCTGGGTGACTTTGGCCCAGTCGTTTCTCTCAGCTCTAGGAAGCAGACAACGGCAAGCCACTTCTGAAAAACTTTGCCAAGAAAACTGCAGGGACTTGTCCAGGCAGTCACCAGGAGTCAACATGACTGGAAGGCACACACACACACGCCAAACAAAAGGAGAGAGAACCACTCAGCATTGGCATGGCTTGTAACATTGATTCCCGTGTTAACTTTAGTTGTCTCTAGCAGTGCGCTATGGGGAAGGCCAGTCTTTTGTAGAGTAGAGGAAGCCAAGATGTTTTGTCACCTAAGGCCCAGAGCAGAACAAAGGTCGCCAAGCTTCTGTAAATTGGAAGAACTGAAGAACAAGGCAAGGCTACTTTGTGGATGTATCCAACAGTGACTTGAAGGGGCCAGAACACAACTGCAGACTCCCCAAAGTTGTGAAGGCAGCTTTGTAGGAATACTATGGGATAGATAACGTTGTGCATTGCAGAGCCTTGTTGCTGATCAACCTAATTAACTGGTGGCTTTGTTAATTCTGCAGCAGCTTTTGTTGTGAGCTTTTTTGAACCCACTTGGGGAGATGGTTATTCAAACTAGTATAATTCAACTTCCAAAATCTGCATTCTCCTTCTATAACTTTCTGTAAAATGATTTATTACCTCAGCGCTGCCAGGTGTTTTTCTCCCTCCTTAGCCTAAGACTGAAGAGATGAGGTCTGGGGTATTAAACAGGCTATTAATTAGTACATGATCAATGGAAATCAATGAATGTTTTCACCGTGGCGGTAAAGAAAATGCCTGTTCGGTGTTTGGATGCCCAATTGCCGAAGGCTCATCTGCTTTTTGTTGGCTGGAAGCCTACTATTGTACACTTTAAAGCAAGACTAAGATAAAAGGAAAACAGACAATATAATTTATTCCAGAAACAACTGGGGCAGTTCTTTTTTTCCACATCTGGATCAGCTCTGCCCAGAACTTGCAGTTTTGGTTGTTAATTCTCGAAGCTGTGATCCCAGCACTTTGGAGGACATCAGGTCGGGGGTGGGTGGGCAGGCGGGTAGGGAGACTCCAGGGGAGATGGCTGCGCTGACAGATTTCAGGATATTTGCCCACACAGAGCAAAATGGACTTGCAGAGGCAATGCTGTGATGTGCAGAAGAGAGAACACACCGTTCCACTCTCCTCCTGCATCACGTTTGTTTATTTGCATATTGTCACCATGCCATCACAGATCAAGAGCTTTAACAATGGGAACTATAGATCTGTTTTTCTTTAAATTACAGTTTAATGTGAGTGCAATGGAGTCAAGCTTCCCAATTATGTCAATCAAATTTTATACCATCCACCTTTCTGGCAAAACACAGCATTCTGTACCCATTTTGCTAGGAGAACACACCAACCTCTGTAAAATCACAGGGAAGCAATTGCAACCTTAAAGTTCTGGATCTCCATGGCAAGACACATTTTCCTTGAATTTTCTCTCTAACTTCAATTTTTACAGCTAGAAAATGTGACATTTTGCAGTCAGGTATCTTTCTTGCTTACCAAAAGATAAATTGCATTCTCCGTTTAGTCTGCCACTTCTCAGTCTAAGATCTTTCTTAGATATTGTGCAGAGGCTGATGTGTGTTAAGTGCCCCTCTGTTTGAAACCATAACTATTGGATTTAATCAGCAATCAAAGATGAACAGGAGGAAACAGAAGCATAAAAGAGCTATCTAAAGTTTGTTTTTCAGGCAAGATAGGAATCTTTTCAGAGGTCTTCTGGTCCAGGAGACCTGTGAGCCAGACAGGGGGGACACAGCAGACGTAGCTTGTCATGTAACTGTTAAAGGTGTAGGAATCCTACCATTGTCTGGATTCAGCCATCTCCACATGATCCGCGTGTGCTAAAATCTAGATTTCTCTGGTCTCATTAGCAGTGACCAGGAGCTAGCTATGTGTGATGGGATGGAATTATGAAAGCCAGACTCAGGGAGAAAAACATTTTCTTTCATCTCCCGAGGCGCAAGGGAAAGATAAGAGGATGAGACTGGCACCTCCCTGAGGAATTCACAGTGCTGTGGCTGGCATTACTTGGGAGCTGGGGTTTCAGTCTGGGAAGATTCTTGCTAGAGGT